AACAAACCAAAAAATATTCTTCAAGCCACCGAATCGAATAGAATTAAAGAAAATGAAGTTTCACGCATTTACAAACAACACACATTTTCTACAATCGAAATCAATTTACCGATAACTGATTGATTACGATGAATTTTTATGAACAAAAATGAGAAAAATGAAGAAGAAAATAACGAGAAAAATTGCGCTGAAATAACTGACATGAATTCGATGCAATTTTCTACATAAATAATCTGAATATTCATAAAACCAATAAATGTTTCTATAATCTCACACCTTTTCCTACAAAAAAATGCAAAGAATTAAATCGAATTCTTGTCATATTTCATATTCGCACACACTCAAATCCACCACCACTACATTCCACACCAAATCAAATCATAAACCATAAATCAATTCAAAAACTATCAAATCATTCAAAAATGTAAAAACTAATAACAACGAATCAACTGAACGCAATGTTAAAAATTTAATGATGAGACATGACGACGAAAAAACAAACCACAATAAATACTTCAATATTTTTTAATTATAAAATTTTTCCATCTTAAATTTTTGCCTATCAACAAAATGAAAAATGAAAAAAGAAAACGAAAAAATCAATAATTGAGTCAGACTCTTCAAGACGTTTGACGAACGAATCTCTTCTTCACCCAATTTCCATTCCATTTCAACACCACTCATAAATATGCTAATTGTAACCAAACCAAAATGTAATAAATTGCTTCTTTAACTGCTCAAAATCCTCACGCAATCGTTCCGTCCCGTTCTCGCCCATCGCTCTTCACGAGAAATACGCTCCGAATTGCTCGGTCGCAATATTCATCCAAGCAATTCAACTGCCCCCATAGCAGATAACAAAAAACAAACGAATAAACCGAAATCCATATACACCCTTACTATTACTAACACCATAATGCATCGCTTCACACTTAACATCACATACATAACTAATGCTTTTTTAACGATGTGAACAATACGAATTCTCAAAAATTTCGATGGCGTATAATCGTTTACAGAGAGATGTGTAAGAAATGCTAATCGAAACCAAGTTTAAAACGTTACCGAACGAACACAAAATGAATATTTATATGATATGACAAGCATTCTCCATAAATCAACACCAACCTATATAAATCGTCTATATTTATGAATGAAAATTGATAAAGGCAAAACGCAAACAGACACGATTTATAATTCAAATCAAATCAAAAATATAATGCGATCACCTCTAACCAGCCCTACACCTCTCTCTATACTCGCCGAATCAATAAAACTTTCATCATTCCAACGCTGACTGATATCGATAGAATGACGATGTCAACCAACAAGGAATGCACTCATATTTGCAAATACACAGCAAAACATAAGCTATATTCAATTAAATAACTACAATTCGTTGATCATTACCCATATCAATATAGTATCATTATCATATCAATACCATACCAATGCAATCACAATACCAATATTAATACGAAACCAATAAATAATAGAGATAACGAATGCGTCGCGCATTACATTGCATAAGCTCATTCGCTGTTCAATGTTCATTTGGTATTCAGATGAGATGTACGGCTAGATAGATAGACAGATCGATGTGATGTTATGTACGGGTAATTGTTATTATAAGATGTGTTATAATACAGCACAATAATAATAATAATAATAATAATGATCACAATACTAATGCTGAACGCGTTACGCTCCGTGCGCTCTTCATTATCCTCATTGGTTTGTCCTTTTGTGTGTCGTTCGCTCGAAAACCGGAGAAAACGGGAAGGGGAATAGTAATCGAGCGAGTGAGTCGGGCATTATGAGCTTTTAAGAGGCAAAGAAAGATCAGCCGCATGAGAGATGATCGGCAGTAGAGAGTGGCCAGATGATAGTCAAGGTTTGGGATAGATGCGCTGTGATGAGTGTGCACAGGCAAATATCATCGTGAATCGCTCGTTAAAACACTCAAAATTAGCATCACAAATGAACAAAACCCGGTGATTGGCGTTATAACAATACGACGGACGGCGATGACAAAGAATTGTACGAATATGATGACATTGCACGTCTGAATGCCAAAAAGACGCAGAAATATCCAACGATCAGAGTAAAAAAGAAAACAGTGTGAAGTGACGAATGATGTCTTGATTGGAAGAGAACGACAAGCTGATATCCACCAAAAAAAGAAACACGGAGGCTATATGAAATCCATATCTTCTTTTCTATATCATCATCTCATCGAATCCTCGAGCAAATCCCTACTCTCTAAGCCACCATCCCTCCCTCCCTCCCGCGATCACTGTTTGCTTTCCCCAGCAGCCTTTATCTACCCTGGCAGAGTGCGGATATCAACCTCATCCAAGCTGCTCTGACCACTACCCGTACTTTGTTTGCTCTACACTAAAAAGCGATCTGTAAAGTTCATACTGCTTAACTGCTTAAGCAGTTTGTGTTGCTGTGCTTCCTTCCATCCATCTACTTCATCCTGCCTATATTTAAAAACTAAAGCGAGTGACAACTCAGAGAACGTCTGAAATTCAGAGATGCCCAAGTGTCATGTTCGCAGAGCCATTTGTCTATGTGATATCCATACAGTTGGTCATTTCACAGACATACATCCTTCTTTATATGAATGATCTATATCCATTCCATCCATCAGCACATCCAACTATTACACCTTCTATCTAGATAAAACATTATTATATCCAAATGCCTGTGCAAAGACCACAGGTACATGGAGGACTGATGCTGATACTGATAACATCACATCAGCACAGAGCTGCTAAGAGAGAGAGGTGAAAAAATCACAGAAAACAAGAGTTCATAACAAAAAAACGTCAAACAAAAATTTTCATCACAAAAATTCGAGATGAAAAATGAGGTTAAAAGCCTTAGTGAAACTGCCTCAAGCTCTGAACTATTATCAATAACCGGAATAGTAACAATAATTAAGATGTGGATGATAACAATAATATGGAACAATGACAATAGGAGCATGCCATCCAGAAGCCATTGGCCATAATAATAATGTCATATGTGCAGTCAGAAGTGGGAAATAGTCACAGTAATGAATAAATGTTGACAGAAATGAAATTTGTTGAGTGAAATCGAGAGGGGTTGGTTTGGTTTGGTCATGGTTAGGTTTTGAGTTATCGTTTGTTACTGCTTATGACAACAAACAGGATTGAATTCAACACATTAAAGGACAGACAGTTCGAGAGTTCGATAGTTCAAGAGCTTATTGTTGAGTGACGAAAAGACTGTTCAACAATTCGAGAGACTCGACTCTTCACAGCTTTGACATAACACAACGTTACCCCATAAAAAAAGCTCGACTCCTGAGCAACAAAAAATCCACTAGCGAAAAGCAATCAGAAACTAAGTCAAACAGCATTTGAAGCTCAAAATTAAAAGAAACAAAGAAATAAGAAACGAATCAAGGAAGCAGAGGATAGCGCTGGAATTTGACAAATCCAAGAAAACGGCAAAGAAAGCAGACTTGAAGAACAAGCAAGAAAAGGGTAAATATGAAGTATCGTTTAGAGTGTAATCATTCCTTTCACTTTACTTCACTATTACTTCTCCACTCCAAACATCTCAGCACAACCCAACAAAGTACTCAAATTCTTGAGAATATTCAACTAACCAACTCGATTAATCAATTAAGAATAACATCGTATAACTACGTCCACAAAAAATCTATTTCTACTGAACTAATCGCAATCAATTGCAACAACACAATCAAATATGTATCACTGTGCAAGCTAGTATGGGGTCGAAAGTTCTCGCGCAGTATTACATAACAATGTAGAGCATCTTGCAATAGGGCAGAAAGTTTTCGGGCGAGTGTGGTAGAAAGTTCCCAGGCAGGTGTGGCTATAATATTATAATACTGCTCGCGGGCAGCATTATAATATTATAGAGCATCGTGCAGTCTTTAATCCAAGTAACGTTTCATTCGATCACGCATCACCCAACAATATGTCAACATAAGCGCTACCAAAAAAATCTCAACTTGTTAAACTTTCGAACACAATAATGATTCCCCTATTCCATAAACATAATTCATTCACAATATAAACTCCAACACTGCATACACATTTGTTCTTTACAATACTATCGTACACATAGATCTGCAGCTGAAGTGTTTGCTGCGTTTTTGCAGTGAAATCTGCAGAGATTTCTGCATCAAGCATATATGTATGCATATATACCCACTTATAATAGCAATTCACTTCACTTCGTCAAATTACTACAACTTATACGAGCAACAATCACTCAATAACAACCAAAGAAAGCATTTTAACAAAAAAATCAAAATGATAACTGATATTTTTCGCTTGAAACGAACTCTCGCATGACTTTTCGTTAAAAGTTATACACGTACTTGATTAGTTTCATTTGGACAGAAACGCTTTTCTTGTTTACCATACAATGGAAGATGATTATTCCACCATTCATATACATTTCGATATCCAAGAGAAATAAAAAGCCACGCGGCTAAACTTCCAATAAGATGGAGAGACAATATTACGGAAGAATTCCGGAACACCCAGTAAAGAAAGGCAATGTCGAGAACCGAATGGAAACATTCACTTCGTCAAATTACTCCACTGCGACCGGCAACATTACAAACTTCTGATAACCTGATCAATCCAGGTAATATGTGAGACTACTACGGGCATTCAGTATTGTTTCAGATCAATTCCTTTCTCAGGTTTCAGAATCAATCTCAGATTCTATTCACTTCAAAGCAACCCCACTCCGTTTCACCGCAGCCATCCACCCAGCCATCTGACTCGAATTTTATTTCTAAACAATCACCACCACACCTAACAACGTTTCTTCCCCGTCCTCTAGAAGATTAAATAACCATGCCCTCTTTGCTGATCAGTCAGCAAATCACTTCATTCCATTCCAGTACGTATTCCTTCACCACAACACCAACCACCCAACCACCATCTATGAATAATCAACCAGCAGTGACCAAAACACAGACACAATCAAACAACATCAACTCTTTATAAATAGCATCACAACAACAACCAACTGCCTCCAAAACATTATCGACGAGTATCGAATTCACCAACAAAACACGAACACGACCATACACCAACCAATCGAATAGTCGAATGAAGTAAAAAATAATTTTAGTAACATATATGCATATACGTTTACACACCCATCACTCAGATCAATGTCAAATTTTTTTTTTAACCAATCAATATTATATCAACTGAACAATCACTCAAAACAAAACGCATCAATCACACATCATCATTGTCATAATGATACGACTGATTCTTGCTTAGGCTGCATTTGAGTTTGGTCCACGCTTTCGGCCTGGGCCACTTAGCGCAACATTCACGAAACGACGATTATACTGGATGCGACGTGCGGCACGACCTAAAATTAAGATATTTCAGTTTTAAGCAAACGAAATTCAAAAACTTTCAAAAAGTAAAAATTTTCCGTACAAGGTATTCATGTACACATCAAATCACTACCAAAACATGAAAACAACAATAACTAACCAGTTTTCTTCTTCTTCTTTTCTTGCTTCTCCACCTTCGGTGTCTGAGCTCGAACTTTACCGGCACGTGCCAACGAACCGTGCACTTTGCCTGAACAACACACAATTCCCATCAAATTGTAATTTTCTCTTCACATTCACTTTCTATTTCAAATTACAGTTTTGCTTTTGAATCCAACTCGAAGCTCGAACACCATTCCTCAGCTCAATTACCTCCGATAAGTCGTGCATTGATGTTCAACGATGATCCGTGGGCAACGTCGTATTGCGACAAAGCGCCGGCATCTTCATCCAAAATTCTCGCTCCGTACGTTACCACACTATCCAATGCTCCCAGTTTTGACTGAAATTTTAACTGTGTGATTGGGATTTATTTCCGTTAGACGGTGAAGAGACCAACTTCGAAACTGAGCGATTCTGAGCAATTTACATAACTGATCACAATCTGAAAAGAGCACTATAAACAAGACCTTGAGTTGAGCAATGGTAGTCTCTGGTGACACTTCCACGAGACGAATTTGCCCGTCGGCAGCGTTGATCAAAATCTGCATGATTGACGATGCCCTCACAACGTTTCTTAATTAACCTTAACAGTGTAATATAATCATCCAAAAGACAGGCCTACAACGACAAGCATTTTGAGACCGAAAACGTGAGCATATAATCGAAAATTAATGCATCAAAGCAGCTGAATCCAACAACTTCCCCAGCCGTTCAGTTGCATTTCCACTAGGCTAATCTTGATTTTGACCCCAATTACGGCCAGAAATCACTTCTTAAGAACAAAAATGCATCGCTTTTATGAAATAAAGCATTGGAAACGTTGCTGAACATTAACGAATGCCTATCGTATACAGCAGAAATGATGTTCGCATCGCACCGAACTTCAAAGTACGAATGACGTTTTGAGACTTTCGACTGCCCCAATAGCTTAATTCTGAGTTTAAAACGCGATCAATGCCTTTATTAATCATAAGAAATAGCAAATTGTTAAATTTTATTCTGACATCCGCCATACAGATATTTACTTCTAGTTTCTGAAAAGTGCACGTCTTCTCGGACGAAAGCTTGAAATACTTCAAATATGCTTTCATCAACGCACAGCTCTCCATATGATCATTGAAGGTAAAGAACAAGAAAGCAAGAATAAAACAAGAATTGATTATATTTTTTTGAAATTTTAACGGTTTTTATGATTTTATCAAAAACATGATTTGATCACACGCCCACAGTATCGATCATCAACCACTCATATCTCTCAATGCCATTCCTACAAAAGGACTAATTCGAACTCCTCTCCGGCTAACCAAACAAATCAAATCTGGACATGGATCAAATAATACATCAAATAATACAAATAATACAGTCACAATCAAATAATACAGTTTCTAAAAAAAACACGAAATCAAACAGAATCATTGCGGAAACAATAACAAGAAAATCACAGGAACAGTAATGAGATTACAGCGAACAACAAATGAAGAAGAATCAATGCAAATAAAACTCTTCACATATCACAAAAACAAACGATACGACGAATCGATCAATTAAAAACAAATCATCACTGAAATACAGCAAAATACAACACGATATCATTCAGAGTATCACTCTAAAACTCTTCTTGATCACGAATTAATAACAAATTTATAATTTATGGGAAGAAAAGACAATAACTGTGAATCATTCTGACGCCACAACGGTGATAATGGCTGCAACGAATTTGAGTGTTCTTCTGAAAACATTAACGAATTAACACTAAAACACCATCATCATAATGCTGAAAACGAACTCAAAATCAAAGAAATACCATCAAAGGAATTAAACTGAATCAGAACATTTATTACAACGTATCAAATGCTATCATACCAAATGATACGAATTTATTTATGAGCGCTATTTGCAACTCACTCGAATGCACGTCTGCATTGAACAACGGTGTTGGGTTTGTGGTTGTTGCTGGTTTACTTTGAATGTGCCAAGTTTGCAACACTTTCTGCGCAATATCTGAACTTAATTTTGAGTTGTTTGAAACCTCATCAGAGGGCAACAAAGCCACCAACTTGACACTACTACAATTAAAAACATCACAATTACTATGATTACCACTGTCGATGAAGTTCACATTAATTTCTCCACGTTGTTCCCCATCTGATCGCCCTGAAAAATCACCCAAATTTTCGAAGTCACATCACGATAAATCAGCCAGCATAAAAAAGGGAAACATAAGTATATTTTATAAAATATCGTATACCTGCGTTTGGTAAAGAAATACTTTCAGTGTCGCCGATTCGCGCAGCTAACTGTCGATCACCTCGCTCGCTCTGAACATGCCCATCGGAAGGAAGATCTGAAACAGATTTGAAATTAACGCTCTGCATCTAAAGTTATGCCTGAATCCCGTAGTCTCAGATGAATCTAGCCCAAATTTCAAAAATAGACAATCTTCATGAGAAGCGCACCGTTAGATGGTGCAATATGACTGCACGATTGCAGGCTGATTATCCTCTCCTGTTGTCGTACTTTTCGACTGAATGCGAGTCTTTTCTTTCGTTCAATTCGACCTGCAAAAAATATCAACTCAATGAAGCAATGTGAATGAATTCAATAATCATGAGCTGGCATTTGGTAATGAGAACATTTCAATACGCTTCTGTGTGCATGCTTCAATCACTTTGGAAGTATGTTTTGAAGCAATATTGCCCTTATTATCACTGTTATCAAAATTATCAACGATTGGAAGCAACGAACTTTTACGTATCCTCCCAGCGATCATTCTCAAAAACTGTCGCGCACGTGGCTCATCGAATTCCAGATATTCGAAAACGAACTGCGCCCCTTTCCTTTTATTTCTCACATTATTTTCTTCCTTTCTCGGGCAAGACATGTGCTATAAACATTCATCTCATTTCAATCCATTCACAACATTATCAGTTTATATCGCACTATTATCTTTTCCATAGACGTGTGTCAAGTCAATCCATAAGATAAATACTCCACCGAATATTTCATCAAGACTCAATCAATCCTGTTTCTCCGATCAATCGGAGCACATCTTATGAACCCAGAGCCTAATCTCAGCCCGACTTCAGACCAAAACCACAGTTAAATCGAGTCTTAACTCATCTTTCAACTATAAACCTCTCAGGAAACAGAACCAACCGTGACCCCGACCGAAAACCTAACTTCATCAGCTCCATGCCCTCTGTTCCTTCCTTACCACAAAACTCGAACTCATAGAACAGAACCAATTCAATACATGAGTCGTTTACTGCTCTGAAGCAACTTAGCCGTTTCGAGACGATCAAATGAAAACAAGAATAAGAACGAATATAACAAATGATACTTCCAGCATACTTCTAAAGAACCTCTCACTTTCTCATCAACCGCACAAAGAATTTCATTCAAATTTTCACGGCTCATTCGGATCATCATCACTTAATATGCAAATTTTCGTTTTGTTTTGTTACAAGCTGATTCATGTATTACAATATCTTAATGAATAAATGATTTTTCGTATTCTCAATTGTCAATACCGGACAGATTATCCGTATTCTCAATTGTCAACACCGGACAGATTATCCGTATTCTCAATTGTCAACACCGGACAGATTATCCGTATTCTCAATTGTCAACACCGGACAGATTATCCGTATTCTCAATTGTCAACACCGGACAGATTATCCGTATTCTCAATTGTCAACACCGGACAGATTATCCGTAT